TTTTTACAGAACTAGCTAAAAGAACCCCGACTAATGATAGAAACCATTACAACAATATTTTCTGTATTTTTAATCTAAACCCTTATAGAAAGTTGTCTTGTTGTACGGCCCAAAGGAATTTTAACGTCACATTATAGGCACATGGTCTAACGTCTAAAATTTATTCCAACGTTTTAGAACAGTTTGGGTAGTGAATGAACTAGTTAATCAGTGTATGGTTTTATCAGTTTGACTTTTGCTGTGAACCAGTTAGTTAGTTCAGTACTGTAAATTTTTTGTTTAGACATTGTTTACTTGTAAAGTTAGGTCTGTCATTAGTTAAGTAAAACCCTGGAACTTGTAGAATTTAAAATTGAAGAAATAAAACGATCTTTTTATCAATAACTTGACTGGACTATGCGTTCTTCATTTAATCGAATAATCCAAATGAACCCACCCAACACTAGACACCATTACAAAACTGGTATCAAGAGTGGGATTATTTAAGTAGAATAAAATCAAGATCTAATTTGCTCGAAGCAAGACCGAAGACTAAATTGAAATAACAAAACTATGGAGAAAAGATCAGGAGATTTAGATAAAATTAAAAAAAAGATCAAAAAGAAAGGGGTTAAAAATTGAAGAAGATAAAAAAGAAAGAGACGGGGAGTTAAGAAAGGAATTACAAGAACTAAATGTAACACTTACAGAAAAGAATAATTAGATTAAATTTAAGATCCAGGAATCATAGGAAAATTACAAAAAAACATCAACGTTAGTGTCATGATGTAAAAGACTGTTTAGCATAGGTAGTATTAATTAATTATTTTGTGAGTTAATATTTCATGATTGTGTAGTTTTTATAATAAGAGAGTTAAAAGCAGGTGATTATTGGAAGTTGTGTTTATAATTCATTGATGTTGAGGCTATCGAAAGTGGCGTGAAATTTATTATCGTTTTCCTTGTTTAACTGTTTTACAGAGATGTTCAAGGGACTTCACAATTCTTGGAGGAGATAATTTTGTAGGGATTTCCATTTAGCCAGTACTGATTGTAATAAATTCGGGCAAATAATTAAAAATACGGCAAGAGATGGTTTGCCTGAATAAACCCTGGTAAATATTTTTTGAAACATGGAGGGCGCCCAAGTTATCTAGGGCAAATCACGGAAGGGGTTAAAGTTAAACTGGAAACATCGCTCGGGCTTTTTCGTCGTTCGTAGTAAAAACTCTCACAGATGTAATTAGAAACCATGCTTGGACTACTTTAGATAATGTGACCCAGACGTAAAATTCACTGTTAACACTAACTAGGTGACTAACAATAACGTAATGCCAATGTGACATGAAAAACCGAAGTTAAAGATCCTGTAAGCACTATTATTTTTTTAGTACAAAACATATATAAACAAAATTACTTTAATTAAAGGAAATATACTTTCGTAAAGAGTTTAAAATTATTGGTTACTTTCAATTTTCATGACAAAAAATATTTTAGAAGGTGAAAAATGATTTTAGCACAAAAATTTTATTGAAAATAATGAAAATGTATCATTTACAAAGTTTACCAGATCTATTTTTATGCGTGATAACACATGTTCTTCGCCGGAGGCCAATCACTAAATTCTATCACATTGATGTATATTCCCAAGCGATGTTCTGATTTCTTTCTCATGTTTACATGTGGGCAACCAGAAGTAATATACCGGAACTAGCCGAAATTTATAATGGGTATTGTTTGTTTGTAGTTCAAGCACAAACGTACACAATGGCCTATTTGTGCTTTGCCCACTAGGGGTATTGAAACCCGGTGTCTATCGTAGTAAATCCGCAGACATACCGCTGTGCCACTGGGGGGTAAGGGGTATCGAAGTGCGAAAATGATCAAAGTTGTAAGAATGTTTAATCAATTACATTTTAAAATGACTAATAGAATCATTAAAGTTATAAACAGATGTTCATCTATATATATATATAAAGCACAAACATCTGTGTGTCTGTCCGTTATTTAACTACTCCTAGATCTTTCGACCAATCTCAACCAAAATTTGTGGGATGATAGGTTGGAACAAGGGTCATGTTAGTTAAGGGTTCACAAACCCTTACACCTCTATTATTTCTGTTAAGAAGCATTTATTATCTTTGACGTAAGTTAACGTTAACTATAGTCATAGATGGCGCCAAGTCCTTACACCAAAAACCAAAAACTTTATATTAAATTTTCTATTACACGAAATATATACATTGTGGAAGGAGGGAACACAAACACCTTACATATCTTGGAGAGTGCGTTATCACTCTCTATGAAGGAATGCAATGAGAAAAAATGGCCGCCAATACTGGAATAATACATAAAGTTAGATGAAGTTTCTACTGCAACAGCCACCATAACGCTGATATGAAGAGCGTTTCTGGAGTTATATCCCCTTCCTACTTTGACCCGTGACCTTACAACTTCATCCCCTAAAACACTTCTGCCACCAATTAATTAATAACGTGAAACAGTGTAGAAGAACGTTAACAGCTGGGTGTTGAAAGAGGGTAACAGAAAACACCCCTTCCGCCAATACGTTGGCCGCCACCTCTTCTCGCAAAGTCATATAACGAATATAGTGTGTTTGAAATACTCTTATTGTACAATCTTCTAATTATTTAAGGTCCTCGAGGGATTAAATTGGGAATGTAGTGCTCAAAAATATAATATTCCTGACATGATGTCTTATGACAGATATAATTAATTATAATCGTTCTTTGCCAACTGGTTAAAGACATACACACCATTACAATTGTTATAATAATAGTGATCTATAACTTCTAATTACGTTTCTAATTTTGAATTGATAAACTAGATAGAAGGCAGCTAGTCACCACCCCTCAACGTTAACTCTTGCACTGCTCTTATCGGACCGAATAATGGGATTTGACCATCATCTTATATTATATCCACTGTCCCAAAGTGCAGAGTGCATTTTTTTGCAGCAACAGACCACGAACAATGAATCCTCGGAATCGCACTAAGAGCACATTAACCGCCAGGCCCACGTCCAAGGGACGGAATCTGTTTATTTATGCATAAATTAAGGTTGTGGTATAGCTATAGGGAAGAGCTATCTATCAGTTTGATTGCGAACCAAAATCCAATCTTGTACAAAAATATTCTATTTGAATTGAATCTTTTTCTTTTCTTTACTAATACTTTTGTTATAAGGGTATTGAATTTTAAGATTTTCTTTATGTTGTTCCTTTCTAGTTTGAAGTTTTTATTTTTACATTACACATAAACTAAAAACACACACTTGAAGCTTTTCACTGTCAGTTTTGGTTTGTGTTGTTACGTCTCTGGTCGTTTGTTAATTTCCGG